AGTCACACCACTGCAACAACCAGATCCTCTTTGGACGACAGGACCGTGACGTAAATATTTATAATAGATTTTTTTTGTATTCTATGAATTTGAATACTTCTTTCCTTTTTGTATCAATTATTTAGTATTTGTATTAAAATATCTAAAAAAAAGTCTTATTAAAAAAATATATAATTTATAATGAACAGAAATTTTTATACATTAATTTATATTTTTAAATTGTAATAGTTGATTATTTTTTATTTAATATTATGATTATTATTTGAATATGTTTTATTTAAAAAAAAATTAAAGACAACGAATTAAAATAAATAAAATATGTATAATACATTTTTTTATATTTATAATAATTATGTTGTAATTTCTTTGTTTTTTCTTGGAACAATAAAGGTTGAAGCAAAATATATCTACTGTATATCTACGGTTTAATATATAAATTATTGTAACCTTGTTGGAAGATCTGTCAAAGAAAACCGGTGATAAATTTATTAAAACATTTACATTTCCGATTTTTATTTTATTTATGTGTATATTACTGAATATTTAAATTTTATTTTGTTATATGACCTATTTCTCCTATTTATTTATATTTTATTATATACGTATAAGATAAACTGCTTCAAAAAATATTTTTGAAAAGTTAAATACAGTGGAACCTCACACAACAAGCATTTCGTATAAAAAAAATGACTCGCTTAACGAGCGACGTTTCGTATAACGAGTGACAATGAGAAGAAAAGTCCAGAATTGCGCGCCTGCTACATCATTTTTAAAACTTGTGTACACATGTTATGTTTATTTTTAAATATGTTTCACAATAAGAGTAAAAATCCGGAAATTTTGGAAAGGATTAAACTCGTTAAACGAGGTTCCACTGTATTATAAATAGAAGCAGAACATATTTGATTTTGTAATTACTAGTAAAAATAATGAGAAAAAAAAATCAGCTGAGTAGGAACTGGAAGGGTTTCAATCAAGGGACATTAGGTATTGGAACAGGGATAATGTGGAAATTTTAAATTTTAGAAGGATATTTGGGTTTAGAGGGGCACAGAATTTAGAGAGGGAGGCGATTTTGGACTGTTTGGATTTAAATTTCAAGGAGAGGAAAGGTATCGATCAAGGAGGACGACTATTTTGGTTTTGGAGTAAAGGAGATCATTAGGAGGATTGTGTAGAGGATTATTAGGATGTCGTATTTTGGTGAGGATACGAAGGACGGAACGTTCGAACACGGACAGTTTTTTTGGGGCGGGATTTCGGTATTGGGAAAGTAGTGGGAAACCGTAGTCAAAGATAGGACGCCATATGGATTTGTAAATGGATGTTTGGCACTTTATGGATATTTTGGAGTTACGGAAGGTTAAGGAACGAAAATGACGGGATATGGATTTAATTTTGGATTTGAGTTGTTTGGAATGGGAATTGAAGTTGAGTTTAGGATCAAGAAGGTTTCCATGATGGTGATGGTGGTGATGGGAAAATGGAATGACTATCTAACATAACATAGGGAGACAAATGGATATCAATAATATTTTTTATAAAGTTATAATTATTTCCATCAAAATTAAGACAATGTTAATTTATTGATTAATTTGTTAATATTCGTTATGTACAATTATATCAATCTGATTTTTACATTAGAGCTTTACTCAATATTTCATTTTTAATTGCAACATCAAATTGATAGAAAAAGTGAAAACGTTAATGACTAATTAAAATGCACTTATTATCGGATATTACGTAAATAATGACTATTTAAACATTGAAATTGAAAATGTGATATAATTACTGGGTCAATACTTTTCCCGAAATTAAGTAAATAAAATAATAATAATATTTATTGTAATAAAAATTAAATTAAACTAAAATTTCAAATGACTATTGAGCAATAAATAAATATTTATTTTTAAAAACTACTATCAATTGTAGTAACAAAATAATTAATTAAAAAAAATTAACAAAATGAAGCTATTTGAAGAAATAAAAATATTTTTTATAATAATTTAATTAATTGATATAAAAGTAGAAGTTAAATTCATTTTTACATATCTTCTTCCTATACCAACTATACTTTTTTTTAACAAAGATTAGAATATTTTGATATCAAAAGACGAAGAAGTTGAGAAATATATTCGATTTATTTAAATACTTCAGAATAAAATTTTCTTGAATTGTATAACATTGGAAATATGTTCAAGTTATTTTTGCCTTAACCTTGGTTTATTAATTGAAAACAACTCTAGATAAAATATGTTACTTACTAATTAACTGATAACAAGTAGAAGGTAAATTGCTTCTTTAAAACGGTATTTTATTTTTCAATTATATTAGAATTTTTTTGAAGTAAGTAAAAGTAAGTCTTATTTTTACTATCAAATATTAGGTAAAACTAAAAGAAATGTCATTCTTTTTGCTTTACTTTGAAACCAGTTTGTCGCTGGTTGTCTTTAAGTTAACATGTTGTGTGTGAATTTCTGTTAGTAATCTTCCTGTTTCTTTTGACCTATTATAAAAAAAATGCAAAGGTAAGAGATTGAAGAGACACCTTTTCGAGATGTTGTGGTGTTTTTACTTAATAAAAGATTGAAATCAAAAGAAGCTGCCCAGACCACCTGCGATATTTATGGAAACATTTTGAATCCTCGAAATTGCTATAGATGGTTTGAAAAGTTCCAAAATGGTGATAGGGAGTTCAAGGACAAACTAAAATCAGGGAGACTTTTTTAACAATTTATTTATCAATTTCATCAATTAGATGATGGAGTCTAAAATATGCAGAAAACTATTGCAACTACAGGAAGGTATTGTGCGGTTTCGATCAGTCCGGATTCAAAATAGTCCGCTTTGAAAATTGTATAAAAAATTACATTTAATGTCAGCAAAATGATGGTTATATAGTCAAGTCTTGTTATAAACTGTTTATTTTTTGTATGTGTTCAAACAGTATGAGATATCAGTGAAACCGATTATCAGAATATAACTCTATATTGAATTATATAACATTACAAATTTATTCGAGTTATTTTAATCATAACCTTGTATTATAAACTATGGAAATTATGTAATAATCTAATTAAGTGATAAAAAAAGTAGAAGGTAAATTTTAATAAGTGTTGCATTAATTACAGAATATTATCTAAATCAAATTCTAATTAGTTTACAAATGTAATATTAAGACAGCAACAAACAACAACAGGTTTATAGACTACCGAAGATATTTAAACTTTGCCAGACCATTTCAGTTGCAGACGTGTTTTGTTTTCTAATTATAATGTCCAAAGCAGACTTCCGATAAATAACTTAATTTGCTTTTATTATTTATTACAAAATCTAGAGATGTTTTGCTTCGGAATTTTTCAAATGACTTTGTTTATAGCACGAATATTTTAGTTACATGTGACCATCAACCATAATATAATTATTTTTTTATGTCGTATAATTTTATTCACAATATGTTCATTAATGTGAACATTGAGTAAATTTAAGATCGCGGTTGACATTCATTACTGTATGTAATTAATACGCTTCTTGTATAATGGTCCGAAAATTGCGGTAATTTTTATTATCAGAATATCAAATGTTGTATATATATTAATATACGTTAATTGTTTTCACAAGAAAGGCAGTAATTAAAGAAATGCGTCTGAGTATAAGACGCACTCCTAATTTATTAGATAATTTCTAAAATTGATATATTACTATATAAAATACTATAAGAATTAATCAATTCTAAGTTAATTACATAAATGCGTCTTATGGTCAGTACATAGCTACAAATCTTAATCGATTTTATTAGATAATCTCTAAATTTGACATACTACTAAATACTATAAGTATTAACAGAATACCAAATGTTATATAATTGTTTATAGTGAGATGTTTGCTTAAGAAATATTCCAATAAATAAAGTGCGGATTTTAATTATGAGTAAAAACTATCGGACTATAGAGTATAAAACGCATTCCAAATATATTATAATTGATATACAGTAATACCACGCATTGTGCGGCTTCAATCAGTGAGGATTCACTACAGTACGGTTGACAATTTCAAAAGAAACTAAATTTTTATTGAGCAAAATAAAAATATATTCTTAAAAATTAGTACACACAATTATTTTTATATATATTAGATCGTTTTTCTTTCTTTCATATAGTCAAGTAACTTTTTCTACTGTTTATTTGTATAATCCTTAATATGTAAATAACACTACATAAAAAGTGCGTCGTATGGTCTGAAAATTTCAAAAGAAACTAAATTTTTATTGAGCAAAATAAAAATTATTTTGTATACATTCAAGATCGGTTTTTTCCATTTATATAGTCAAGTAATTTTTTATACTGTTTATATTATAAATACTCAAATTGTCCGGTTACAAACATTGTTTTACTACCATATACAATGTTATAAGAATTAACCCAAATCTAAGTAAAAACGCTATGTAAAAAGGTGCGTGTTATGGTCCAAAAATACGGTAATTAATATCAGTGCTATTTTAAGAATGCAAAATAACTTATATTTATTAATAGTTGTTAATTGTTTGCAAGAAAATGGTGGTAATAAATAAAGTGCTAAAGATAATTGTTGATTCTCGGGAACAAATAAAAATATAATGAAGAAAATTGTCGTCAGGGAAATGATTGCAGGTCGATAGAGCGTTTCCTTTCCGGCGGCCGCAATTACGTCTGGTCGACCCCGCCACCTGGGGGAATCCGGGCCTTCGACGGAGATTGATTTATTGCCGCTATAACTATAATTATTATTTGTAGCGATTCGCATCGGTATTGGAAGTGGTGTGATGCTGATGATGCGTTTGTTGCTACTACTAAGGATGATGATTATGATGATAGTTGTGGAGGAGGAGTTGGCGGCGGTGGATGCGATGCGATGACGGCTTCGGTTTTCGAGGTAGGAACGACGTCAATCGCGTTACAAAGTTTGGTCCCCCACTAGTCGGACACCCCACGGATAAAAAGCTCCAAACAAACCCACGGACCGGATAATTAAATACGCGCCAACGCCGCGACACAAGCCCGAAGTGCGCGACCACAGTCTAACCTCTATTTAAACACGAAACATCTCAGCCAATAAGTTAACATTTCTCGAACCCTCGACGTCGATTAACCGAACGTGTTCCTTCAGCTGCGTTTTATTTCTACTTCTTCTTGCCCAATTGGATTTTTCACCTACTCCAAGATGATCGAGTTCAAATACAAGAAAACCTCAAGTAAGTGCCGGAGACTCAAATGTTGCATCAAACGACGAACCCGAATATAATAACGCAATTTTTTGCTTTACTTTTTGCCACATAATTACTAAAAATCTTTCTTATTAAGAAAAATAAACAATGGAATCATAAATAAATATAAAAAAATGTGTTAAACAACAGAATCCTAAGTTTATTCTCTATATTTCATATGTTTTTATTTTATTAATGACAATTCACCAATGCTTCAAATATCAAGTGATTTTAATAGATAATATTTAAAATTGATATACTACTAAATACTGTAAGAAATAAATAATTTTAATTTAATTTCTCTACATAAAAAGTGCATCTTATGGTATGAAAATTGTAGTAATTTTAATTAATAGAATACCAAATTTTATATAATTATTTAAAGTTTGTTCATAGTTAATTGTTTGCTCAGGAAAGATTCTAATAAATATTAATTTATTAATATCTTTATTATTAAGAAAAATTAATAATTATCAAAAAAATATAGAAATATAAATAATTTAAAAAACGTATGAAAGAACATAACATTATGTTTTTTCTCCTTAGTTCATCTTATTTAATATGTTAATATTTTATTAAAGATTATTCATCAAATTCATGCAAAAACTGATATTTTTTATCGATAATAAAATCAAATTATTTAATGTCAATTTATAGAAAATATAAAGAAACGTTTGTAATAATTTATTATATTTTATTCTTATTATTTACACAATTTATTGGTTTATTTCCAAACCATGTCACTTCATTCAATACTTTTTATGTTCATAATAAATTACCTTTAAAAAAATGATGATAACTATGAAATAATATATAGAAATACATTATAATAAACACTTTAGATCTACATAAACCAATAACAATACTTTATAATAATTTAAATATACAATTTATGAATTTTATGATAGAAATTTTAAATTGCTTTTTCTTATATATAATTAGACAAAAAATTCAAATATTTTTCAGTATTGAAGAAAATCACACAAATAAATATTTATTATCTTCTTCAGTAAATAAAAAGAATTGACGCTATTTTTTTAACATAATATTGGAGAAAAAATGCAATATTATAATGTTAAAACTAAGTCATACATTTATTAAGTTTTTATTATAACTTTATTAGAATCAACTGCAAAGAATTATAGATTATTTTATTAATTTTAATATCACATTTAGAAATGTGACATAAATTTCAGCATTTTCTTCAAAAATCATCAAGAATCCAATACCAAATATTCACATATTCTTGCAAATTCTTAAAAAAAAAAAACAAGAAATTAATAATTATTAATTTAATAAAAAATATATGATAATGTATTCTTTTTATGAACATTAATTATTGCTAAATTGTAACACGTGTTGTTCTAATCAAATATTTGTTATTAGTGTAAATACACATAAATGCAATTAGCCCTTAGCGTGATTTTCGCATTCCATAATTTTGCATCTTAGATAACCGTTAAAAAGCTTCTATAAAACAAATACATCTGCATATAAAAACTCTTCAGTTTTTAATTCAAATAAAGAATACATAAAGTAAATATCTTTTATTTGTTTTGTGTTTTGCTTCCTGATATTAAATAACCGGTCGATTACTAAATCAATCCTATTACGTATTTGGATCTTACTTATTTGTTTTCACAGTTGACCTTAAACAATGAAAACAAACAAAAATATTCTCGAATCTATTTTATGCATGTTTTTATCATTGTAAATGATAACAAAAACTTTATATTTTAATATTAAAGTAATATGTAAAAATCACAAATCTATTATTTTTTTTTTGTTACCAACATATCCAAGCAACGTTTTTGGTTTTAAAGTTCAATTTGTGAAATGATTATGTAATTTTGATATTTTTTAAGCGTCTCATCAAAAAAAAATGGACGTTTATATAAAATAAAATAAATGATGTCATACAATTTAATTGTATATAAAAATAAGTATAAACTGTTTTTTCTTTTCAATTTATTTATATAAACCTTTTCATTGGTCCTAAATTAGTACAGTTTTTCTGCCCAAACAAATTGGTTCTAATGTAACCAAACTAAATAACGGTTTTATCGTATTTCATCTATAATAAGCGGATTTTTTTAAGTATTCAAATGTTGAAATTTCTGCTTAATGTAAAATATATGAAATAACAATAATTAAAAGTAATTAAAAACTGTTGGTTAATATCAAATTACAGTTAGAAATATTAAATTCGGAATTAAAATCTCACACGAGATCAGATTAATGTTACAAAAAAATATAATTACTGCTATTATATTTCTTACTTAATTTTCTTTATGCACGAAAGTTTAATTCTAAAAAATATATACTTATAAAATCGGTTTTTAGATACATTAAATAATTAAATTCTGTGAATTATTTTATTGATTTAACATAATAGGATTATTAAGAATTACACATTGATGTTAAAATTACAATGAATTTTATATACAGTGATTTCACTCAAACTCTTGATTTGCATTTGCTATTTTAGAACCTTTAATTTTTAAAGTCAATAATGACACACAAATGTGACTTATCTTCTTTGTTTATTGTTATATTTTTTTGTTACTAACTAGTAAAACTTTGTGGTGGAACTATGGTGGAACTATGTTAATAAACTTGAATAATGCATGAAATAGTTGTGAAGAAATAGATTACCTTATGTAAAAGAAAACGGTAATATCTCAATTAAAGTATAAATATTCATGATTCAATTTACACATTATGTGCATTGAGATAAAGTAGACACAAATATTTTGTAAATTAGAGTAATCATCTTGCATTTCAGATATTTGTCTCAAAATGCACAAAACGTTAATAATTTCCCATTATATTTAATTATAAGCATATATTTATTAAATTAAAAAAAAAATGATAAAAAATCATTTAGTCAGAAACCGACACGTGCAAATTTTTAAGTGATGTCCTCTGTAATTCTATCAATAATAATGAGTTTGATTGTGAATAATTTCCCACAATTAATTAATTTATAAATAATAATTGGACATACGGCGCCAATTTGTCGGAATAAAAAGTTTTGACACACAATATAAGTACAGTAGTTGTTCTTTATCCAAATTGTTCGTAAACCGATCATCAATTTAAGAAATGCTTTATAATTTAACATAAAAAGTAACGTTAATCGGTTCGGTATACGAACATTTGTTTGTTGTCCGAACATAAAAGTCTTTTGCGAAAGTTGTTCGAAAACCGAATTGCTCGTTGCTAAGTGTATATGAACGTTTCTCAACATATAGTGAGTTTCATTAAACGTTGACAGTTGTCACCTTACGTCTTTTTTTTTTTTAATTTCATAACCTATTGAGTCGCATTAAAAGTTGACAACTGTCACCTTATGTAATTTTTTTTATATGTCAACCCCGTGACGTTAAAAGTTTGAGCAACGCTGGTCTATACATTACGAAAATGAATGTCTGTTTTTTTTATTTCAATAAATGAAAATGAATTTACGTAAGAAATAAATATTTAGTATATGAATTCAGCATTTATATATCAATTTTTTTTCAATTTGGAAAACAATTTCTTTAAATATACGTAACTTTTGCTATGACATACATGATCATGAATTGTAGATTTTCAATGTTAATAAATCAATAAAATTCAATTAAAAACTTAAATGAATTTGTCATGTTATTCATTATTTACTAATTATACACAAATAATTGATGTACCGTTGAGAGAAAAAAAAAATTGTGGTGTTACCAACTGGCATTAACAACTTTATGTATTGGATTCATTTGTATTTAATCAATATTGATTTAATTATTGTATTACTAATTAGCATATATAATTGACAAATATTTTTGTAAAACAAAATTCCAAATTAAATAATAATAATATTTAATTTCTAAATATTTAAAATATTTTATAATTTATTTACAAATTAAACACAAATAGTTTTATAATATAGCAATACCTCGCATAGTGCGGTTCATAATAACAATGATTAAATTAATAATTACTAAATATCATAAAAGAATATTTCCATAAAACATTTTAATTTAAAATTAATTTTAGCTAAAAATAAAAGTTCAAATATACTATACAAATTAATACAAAAACGTATTAAAGTTTATAATTTACGTCACAATTTATATTATTTTAAATTAGTAATTATTGAAATTTATATAATTTCCTAAGAAAACTTGAAGAATAATACTGTTGATAGAATTATAATAATAAAGTGTGAATTCGGAGTATTCTGAAAATTTACAAAGCATTTAAGGAAAACCGGTATATTGACTACGTTTTGATCACATGGATGTAAGTAAAAGGCCGAGTGTAGTAGGAATGTGCAGAGCAATTAGAATGTGTTAACCGAAAACGCTGAAAGTTTCCGATCGAGATTAGAAATTGCTTTATTATATTTATTTATATTTCTTACCTTTCTTTATCCATTTAAATTATATGACAATTTGGTGTAAATCGCATTAAGAATGCTTTTCAATAGCAAAAACTAAATGCATTTTCATCATTTCTTACATTCGTATTTATATTTATTGTTTATTAATGAGTTGTTAATTGTTCTCATTTTAATCTCCTAATTAAATTAATAAACAAAAATGTATGAAACTTGAATTAAATTATATATTTTACTCAAATTATTTGTTTCAATTTAGTAAGATTAAAGTCGGATAGTAGCAGATTCAAAATAATCATATGGATGGAAATTATTAGAAAAAAAATATTTGTTTTCTTTTAATAAAAGTCTTATGTATGTTGACAAATTTGATGAAATCATGTTTTCTAATTAATAAAATAATCTTATTTTAGAATTTCAATGATTATTCCATATTTATAACACTAATTTTGTGGAAATGAGGAGAGGAAACTTTCATTTGAAAATATTTTAGATAATTATTAAGTAATAAATAAATATTTCATAATTATGTGTTTTCTAGTACACTTGTTTACATCAACTAAGTTTATATATACATAATTTTGTATCTTGTTGAAAATTTCCAATTACT